CACCTGACAAGCTGCTGTACTTTCTACAAGGCCTCCAGACGTGCCTGATGAAACAACATCAGAAGCCAAACCTACCCAGATCTCACCCAGTTTCCAGCTGAACCTTTTTGGCTGGTCAGCTATGTGACCAGTTCTCTTGAAGCCTCTGAGCCATACGTAAGTTTGGTATGTCTTTAGTTGTCTTAATTTTAAGAGGGGCTCACAATTTAGGAAAAGCTACTTTACCTTTGTGCAGTATGTGAAGACTGACTGCTTTGTTCATTTAGTTAATTAGGCCATATATACAAACACAATGAAATAAAAGATGTGGGTATCAGCCCAACATATGCAGCTTTAATTTGTTTGCTGCGCGCCTGGTGGAGGTCATTGTCACTTATTACCTTTATACTTTGCTTGACAAATGCTCTCCTGCTCCATGAATGCTGCTACCAGGGATGGCAGGGAACTACACTAAGTCCAGGCGAAGTCAAGAAGCCCCCTGGATCTTAATTATAAAACCATAAAAGAAACCAACTGCCTTTGAAGCTCTCTACCAGGAAACAAATGAGAATGGGAAATTTATTTCCAACCATAAATCCCAAACCCTTCAGTTTAATTTTTCCCAAGTTAACTTTCTCACCTAGCTAAGCAGCACTGCCTGCTATTATTAGCTTCTGGCCCAGTATCAGCTGACCACCATTAGTCAAACTGTCTTCATCTCAATGAGCTCAGGGACTCCCAAGGAACTCTGTGTATGCAGACTTGTGCTTGCAGCCTCTAATTATTTTCTAACAGATAATGGAGCATTTAAGTTCAGAGAGAATAGATTAAACTTGTAAGTGGATCAAAACCCTGGACAGAATCAGAGCTCACAAGATTACTTCCTGGAAACACCAAGCTTAGAGGGCTACAAAAGAAAGGCCTTCATCACTTGTCTGTTTCCCCAGGACACGTTAGTTTCAGGATATTTTTTAGCCTCAAAGACGGTTTGCTACACTTTCCAATTGCTGCATGTCTCTGGAATGTATTACATGATTAGCTGAGCATTTGGTTTGATGTTAAACCATCTGATCAGGCCAATGGCTACTTGACTTACCAGATAATCGTAACAGCCAAATAATTTGAGGTTAAGGAGGAGAAGTCGTTTTCAAAAGTGAAATTACAACTCCCTGTTCAACCGTCAAGTAGCCTCTTAGCTGCTTATTTGACTTTTCTCACAATAAGCATCCTCTTATACCTCCACAGAAGCCAGGACCTTCCATCTTTCCTTACAGCTGCAGGCCTCAGGGTAAGGAGCAGGATATCCTTCCCTCCAGATACCCCTGCATCCATCCACTCATGAATCTCCTCGCGAACATGCTTGCAGGCAGGCCAGTAGCAAGAATGGCTGCACTCTGAATTCCAACTCCAGGGCCCTTCTGGGGACCGTGAAGTGTGATTAGCTAGGCAGTTAGGAGAAACAACGCCCCACAAATTAAGCAACCAACCATTTTGACACCCAAATGAAACGCTTTAGACTGTGAAATTACTCCAGACCTAAATGACCACAGATTTGAACAACTTCAGAAGGAATTGGAAAGAAACACAGGCCTAAATTATACAGAACAGTGGCAACAACAATGGCAAGGTTAAAAAAAAACACACAAGTAAAACTAAAAAAAATTTCTCTTAGATCACATGTACATTCTGTTTCTTCCCTGGAGAAGGCAATACAGGCTATGTAGTAGACTTTGGACTGCTTTATTTTAACAGACTACTACAGTAAAAAAAAAACAAACCAACACTATGTAAGAGGGCAAAGAACAGAGTAAAAGCAAGATGTAGTTGGGGTTTCTGGAGAATGCACGGAAAACAGACTCTGCTGCAATTCTGTGAAGAAAAAATCCAAATAGGGGATGTACTTTTTGATGACGGCCCATTCATCATCCCCTGATGGGAGGGTGGGAGGTGTTTGGCCATAGCAGGTGCTAACATCATGCATTGTATCATTATAGTCATTACAGATCCATTAGTGGGCGTTCAAGGTGCTGAAATGACAGCCCAGTAGCCAAATTGTTGTTCTTTACTCTTTTAGCATAACATTTAACAGAATTTCAGCAGCTCCCAGAGCACTTTAAGCACTTAAATTCCCCAATGTTACAAGTTTAAACCAGAGCCTATGCACTATGCCACAAACTTCTCTCCCATCTATTTCTGCAGATGGTGCAGAGTAAGTGTCCCAAGTACCCTTCATGTATGCAAACTGGTGTGTACAAGAGCCTTTACATTTTCCAGAGCCTCTCTGAAAGCAATACCAAGTTCTAGTTGCAAGTACAAGGACATATACAACTGGGTAGAGTTACCAACAAAAGCTCATCGGTATTTGACAAGTTCAAAAAAAATGAAAGCCAACTGAGTGAGACTTATAACACCTTCCCAATGACCTCCCCTTTCTATTAATAACTGTGTCAGACATTTAAGTCAACGCCCACTGTGCTCCTAAGCACCATTAGCCACCTATACACCTTTAACAAGAATCTGATACAACTGCTTTTGACCAGCAAAGACCATTCATAACACTCGTCTTACTGGAAGCACAACCGATGGATTTTGTTCTCACATGTACTTATGAATGTTCCTAATAAAACAATGCCAATGAACAGTTTCAAGTTTTATCAAGCATACTTATGCATCGTTTCTATGAGGCTTTGGTCAGTATAAAACAGTTTCCTGCTATACCTTACTCTTCAATGAATGATAGACATCGCCTCATAGTACCTCATCAATTTAAAACTATGCCCTTTCTGGGACAGGAAGGAGTGGTCACACTGAAAGCAACTATCCCAGGGCCCTTCTTTTACATAAACATTATCTCTTAAAATGATGGTTGTTTCAAGAAATATATGACTGGGTTAGGAGGTGAGTAAGGCAGAAACTTCTGTATGATTGCATGAAAAATTATTTCAAAAGAATAAAATTAAATCTGCCCTCTCATCAGTTCTGTACAGCAAAAGATGTTACAGACCACTGCACATATATCAAATGCAGCACTGATACAAAACATCTTATTCCTTCTTATTGTCACTTACACCAACTGATGATGAAGTCCAATTCTCTTTTATTATTATCAAAATAACCTCTAGGTTGTTATTAACCTGTAGGACTCACAATGAACTTCACTATTCCCCCAACTTGTTACAACTGGATCAGAGGCTTATGAGAGAATGTTAATTTAAAGAGAAACTTCTCCTAGCATAGCTGTATGTTACACAGTTAAAATCCCCATAGTGTCCAAAAAAAACATCATTTCTGGGCTGCTCATCAGATGCATGAACTGGAGGGAAAAGAGGTCCAGTGAATTAAGTCAGCAGATCAAGCTGAGCTACGAAACCTCACACTAGCAACTGTGCCTTTTAACAAGGACCTTACCTTTCCTCTGTACAGTGCATCAACATTAATATCAAGTAAGGAGCCATTGCTACTAACTCCTCGATCAGAGAACCAGATCCTCCTCTGGCAGAAACAGCACAGTTCCAGTGACTTTCATACAGTGGCATCAATTCCCTCTGCATCAGTGTCCGCTGCCATCAGACACAGTGCATCACAGCTCACAGTCAGTGGTCTTCTACTCCCTGCACATTCACTTCAACAGACTGCTGAATACCAGTTCTCTATCTGGAGCCCTACCACTAACAATGCTCTTCACCATTATTTTGTCCATTAAGTAAATATATGTAATCCTCTTTATCCCTTTAGGGCAACTCATCTCATCCAAACAGAGACATTTTTTAATTTGTGCACAATTATTCAGTGTTATCAACATAAATGTGTAGAGCTCTGTGAAATGCAGAGGAAGCACCTTGATCTATACAGCGCCAGGTCAACTGCCTGAGAACTCACGTATGATCATTTACCTGAAACAGCCATAGCTGTATGTTCCTATTAACTTCTAGATGTAGGAGTAGATTATACAATGGGAGTACTGTCTCCTTGTGCTTTATACCCTCATTAATGCTAATCTAATTAAGCCTGTACACTGAAGAGACCTTCAAGATTTGAAAGTCCTATGTAATTTTCAAGTTCATGAGAGCAATTTACAAAAAAGCACAAATTTCTGAATTGTTTAGAAACTGAAACTGAATAGCACACAAAGTTTCAGCATCAATAAGGCTTGGGTTTGACACAGAGCTCAGGACTCAACATAAAACATCCAAGAAAATGATCTTGACCTCTTGTTAAAAAGTATTTTAGATTAGTAAGGCAAAAGGGATTTTATATCCAGCATATTTTTTTTCTCCCTGTTATGCTTTTTTTCTGCTGACAGCTCCCAGACTCTCAGTGCTTAGTTCCCAGGGAAACTGAAGCAGAAAACAGTTAAGTTTCTGTCCCTGCACCAGTGGAGACCTACAGATGGCAAGATTTTCTCCCACAACTGCTCTCATCTCTAAACTCTGCCACGGAAGTGGAAAATATCTGGCACACGAGACATAGTTGTTTCAGCTTTCCACTGATGGGATGGCCACCTGTAAGAAAATTCCCAACGGGAAAGTTCATGCCTTGCACACTGAAAAATCCAGCCCTACGTCATTTTGGCACTGAAGTTACCCTGGTAGTCCACATACCTGCGGTTCTGGAATGCGATGATCTACATGCAGCAAGCCAAACAGGGCACAGCACTGCCTTATACTGATTTGTCTAGTTCTTCAACTTCAGAGAAACAGCACTGACCAGATGAGGTGTAACCTTGTTTTTCTGTTAGCCTTGCTACCACAGAAAATGCTACGGATATGCATTAACACGGCTTGTCAAGGACTAACAGAAGAAAGGAGACTGACGACATGAAAAATCCCAGCAACTGGTTTTCTAGGGACACTGTGTTGTAGCACTCATTAAACATCAGCACGATATTGGTACTGTGTACAAATCTCCTTGTAATATTTAAATATAAGGAAAAAGAACTGACAGGAATTCTTCTTTACAACCTCTGTGGACTGAAGAAAGATCCCCCCAAGACTCGAAGTAGCTGATCATCTCCTACTTACATCCATAAACTCCACATTGGCTTTGGGACCAGTGGTCTCGTTAAGGATCTTAATGGCCACAGGAATCTTTACAGTTTCTCCCTCGGGGACCCAAATACCCTAGAAAGACACAGAAAAGTGACAGAAGACTAATAAGACAACAATCATAAAGATTTCACTCAGTTACATTTCTTTTTGATGTATTTTGTCACATTATGCATCATTATGCAGTTCAGTTGCAAACATCGGGACTGAGAATACACAAAACAAGCTATAAAAGAAACAAGGAAAAAAATCTCACAATACTACTTCTTACACCAAAACTCAACCCTTACGTAAAGTGGAATGTTTTATGCCAGTGAATGCCCTTCTTAGCCCACTTAATTTTCCTGCCCACAACCAGCCTTATATGGAGCAACATAAGCATGTCAAAGAGTTTTGCACTGCCTATTACTTCCCATAAAATTGAACAAGAATCTTGATTTTCTGTTCTGGAGTTTGATGTTAATCCCACTGAAGCTATTGCAAACTCCCACTAGTGAGTATCACCAGCAATTAGGTCATGCCATCATGCAGAAATAGGACACCTTGAGAACAATATATTTGGATTGAAATAGTTAAACGTTATTTCTCTAAGTAACTGTTATATAAGAATTAAAAGCTGAGATAGCTAAGAAGCAAACCTTGTAATTACAATTCAGCCTGTCTCTTGGGCTACTTTACCATCGCTCTTATCTAATCTATTCTGTGTTCCTGGGAATCTTGTGTTACCTGTCTCTATCATTTTATTATTTTCAAATTTATTATTTGAAAAGTGTTGTGGTGACGTTGTTGTAGTCATCTGATCTGTACCTCTTCCATTGCTGCCCCCAGTTTGGAGACAGACACCATACATGTATCTATGCTCCTTCACTGCACTGGACTATCACTTTGATTTGACAGGTATGGGTTGCTCCCAGAGGGTTTAGTGATCGGTTTGACTTGCTCCTTAAGCCCTACTTCGTGCCTTTTGAAATTGAACAGGACCAACAGATCTAAAAAAAAAAAGTAAATAAATGAAGTGTTTTTCCCTTTGTATTTTTCTCTTTGGGTTCTGCTCCTTTATCCGGATTGTTCTGGAGTGCATTAACATAACTAGTATTTCCTACGAAATTGGAAGAAACAGAAGGTACTAAAATTTAGATAATACTGTATAACATCATATAACAGCTATTACATGACCTATTTGTGAAATGAGAGACAAAGTTTATCTAACTTGTTAGAACTGTACTGTAAAGCCATCACGTAAGAACAGAACATCCAACATCAATACTGCATTTAAAATCAGTAGCAAGATGTTCTGGCTTGTGTGGTCCTTTTGCATGCAAGTATGCTCATGGCTGACACTCCTTTTCTCACCAAGCAGTCATGTACATGAGCCTGCCTAACACTGAAGTCTTAAGTCCACTGTTCTATTAGTCTCCCAAATACATAGGGCTCATGAATCCACCCACAATAGAAGATGCCTTGCTGCAATGCAGAACTTGACAGTTCCCAAGTTAAATGAGGCCAGTCACCGCTGCACAGAGGGGTCTCTTACCTTGTATACAGTTCCAAAGGCTCCAGAGCCAAGAACTTTGACTCGTTTCAGTTCAGTTTCCTTCAGGATACGAAGCTGTGCTTGGTTGGGTGCTGTGCCACTTGGAGTTAAGGGTTCCACAAGCTATGAAAGGAAGTCCTACAATGTTAAGTATCTGAAAGTGTGAAAACCCATCAGAAGTTTACACTGAAAACTATCAAGCCAGTTTAACACTGAAATAAGACAGTGAGGACTACTGATCTGCCAACTTCTGCAGGAGTCTCTCACCTTTAAAAGTAAATCAATCAAATGCTAAGAAACTGAGTGACACGATAAAGAAAGTCCTCACTCACCATGTGATAATTTCCACCAGGAATTGCATGATGGAATTATGAACCGGAAATTGAATTGGTGTCACAGTAATGCACCCAAGGACTTTCACTAATGGAGGCAGTATAAATATTTTCCACATGACAGAAATACAGCATTTATTATCAGCACACCACATTCTATTTTTGCCTATTTTAGTGCCTTTTAAGTTGGCCATATTTCTTCTAAATAACTCTGACTTAATGGATCATCACATTCTTACTCTGTTCTGGAGAAGGAACTACTCTTTTGAACTTCTGCTGTACTGTATAAGAGGACAACTTTAAGGAGAAAGCAACTTAAAGCAGACAAGCAATTGTAACAACCACTAATTTACCTGGGGGGGGGGAAGGGGGGAAGGCACAATTAAGCAATTTGCCCAAGATGACAATCATGTCCCAAGAAACCTTTAACTGAATGTGCTATTGTGGTTCATTTATAAAAATGCTCTCAGAAATCAACATGGTACCGTGTCTGCCAGGAAAAAACAAAACAAAACAAAACACCAACCTATGGTTCTTAAAAATAAATTAAAAGTAAATGAAAAGGACAACATTCTAAACAATGAAAAATAGCCTGTTCCTTTACAGGATGAGAAAAATAATTCAGGGCTACTCCTACTCAAATTGGTTTCACACTGCTGCAGTATTTCAAAGTTGTCTGTTTACAAGGCTAAATGCTCTGTGCTCTGCAGTTTTCCAACTGCTGCTATGGATCTTTGAGTATCATGGACTACTTCATCAGTTGACCAGATTACTCTGGCTCAGGTAGGAAGACTGTTAACTGGAAATTATTGGAGTATGGAAACATAACAAACCCAAACAGAAACAAGACAGGTCATCATAGAAATTATTTTTTGAGTTGTCTTTTTTTTTTTTTATATAAATAAAATAATTCTCTTTTGTCCTTCCTGTTTAGACACCCAATACTAATGCAATGAAGGAAAGAGGGCTCACTATAAAAGAGAACCAGGCAGACTGGTTCTTTCAGTTTGTGAAGAGTGAAAACAGCTTCTGTGCTACAGGCCACCAACACACATACGGCAGGGAGAAGTAGTATTGTGGGCCCTAAAAGAATTCCTTGTAGAGTATTACTGAGAATGACTGATAGAAAGATAGGTCTGTCATAGCCTGCAGCTAGAAACAGAGACTCTAGCTGAAGCTGTGTGTGTTTATTTCAGGATACTCCTGATTTAATTTTCCATTTCTAAGCCAAGACAGCAGCCTCCCCACAAATTCAGTAGAAGACCGTAGTCCCTCAGTAAACATTGTCAGCCACAGCTTTTATCTGATCAGAGAACAAGGACTTCAAAGCCAGTACCTCACTTATGCAACACAGTCTACTTGCTTTTGCCTAAATAGGGGCTGATATGATGTCAACATTTACCTATCTAAAAGCACTTAGTTAAGCTTTCCATAAACCTGAACAGTATTTAACAAACAACACAAATTCTAGGCAGGCATAAAGGTATTTAGGAAAACAGATTAGGGATGCATAAATCATTTGCTCCAAGGCACTACAGTGGAATTAAGTGGAAGCAGGACCCTTAAAATAAAAGAGAACAGCACTGTTAACAAAGCCCTACTGAAGTATCAGTAGTTAATAGTATTTCCAGGTTTTATCATCTCACAGGCAGGAACCCTTATTTAATATTATCATCAAAGTGTCTCAAAGCACAGGACTGTGTAGACGGTAGTAACCACTTTTGCTGTAACTGACAAAGACTAAGTATTATGGTTAAGAGTATTTCCTAGATTGCCTCCTCCACTACCTGCAAATTGAAGAGCAGAACAGAATGGACGCAGCTTTCTGTCCTATAGAACTGTTACGTGCTTTTGGCAGTAGAACTGTGAATCTTACTTGGTTATGCTCTGGAAAACGTCTTGGCTTATTAAAGCGCATTATTACTACTGAACAGAACTAGAGGCTTTGACAAAATTTGGACCACAAAGGCAATACAAGTAGTGGAGCAAAGAGTGAGTGGCAATATCAGCATCTAAGCATTCCTAATGAACTTAAGCTATTACCAGACATCATTAAAGTAACCTACTTCAATCAAAGTTGACTTCAGTATGCACTGGATGAAATCTTGTCATTTTAAAGCATAAGAGCTACTGAATATATTGACGAACTGGGATAGAATTTCAACAGAGAGTAGGATAAGAGCTTAAAAATCTGGTGGAACATGGCTATGTGATCATGTGGATCTTTTTTAGATATGCAAAGCCACAGATCCATGTATGTACAGAAAATTAGCACGTTGAAATAGCATCATTCACTTCATCAGTTCAGTCCTGCACAAATTAGCAAAAGATTTCTACAGACCTTTACGGTAGCTGGATTAGAGACCTCAACATCCTTAGTACAGAAGCAGAACAGTTTTGCACACCTTCCCAAATTTAAAGTATTTTGTGAGAAGGAACACATGCTCACCTCAGTCTCCAGGAACCTTCGCAACGCTCTCTTCTTCTTAATGCTCTTGCGCCGAACATACACAGCAAATGTCAGGCCCACAATGACGATGATGAAGAGGCCACCAATAACTCCAGCAGCAATCAGAGGGGTTCTAGCAATCAGAACCAGAGACTTCATTGTTAGCTAGGTGACGGACCAACGAACGGCTAGGTACATAAAATATAATCACTCAGAAAACAACTTATGTTGTAACTGTTTTACAACAGTTACTTAGTCAGTCCAAATAGCAAGTCAGGGGAAACACATTAACATGTGTTACAACTATTCTTGTTTTTTAATCTATATACCAGGTTCACTTTTTTTTCAAACTGCCATGCACATGTGAAGAGTTGTGTGGACAAGGAGACACAACATGCACTTTGATGGCAAACGCAAATCTGCAATGGCAAAATGAGGATACAAGCATCTGGAGTTCTCCTGCAAGAGGTTTACCCATGCTTACTTTCGGGTCCAACTAGATTAACTCATGGAATTGTATATTTAGAAAACCAAAAACCAACTAACAAAAATTGCCTAACCTACAAAAACATGATGTGCCTTCCTGAGTCTAGGGAAGCAAGGAGCATCATACACAGACCCTTTACTCAAATGGAGGATATTTACACTTGAACAAAGTAATTCATTACTAGTACCACACACCCTCAGTTCACTACCATTGCACAGGACTATTTTTGGTGATGGTTGCACCCATCTGGTTCTGCTATTAGCAAAGCCAAATCCCATATCAGAAGACAGCTGCGTGGGAGCCAAAAAACTTCTGTGTGTAACAACAAGCTAGGGTCAGCATTCCCATAAAAAAGTAGTCATCCCCCCACAACTCCTTCAACACCTTTCATCTCTCCAGGACCTTGAGCAGCATCAGCTGCAACTACTAGCTTCTTTTTCCCCCAGACATAAGATATAATAGGCTGGCACGGTGGTAGATACTCCACAAACACAAAATAAAAACCGTCTCAGAGATCCACGCTGACTTAGTCGTGCACATTTGGAAAAGAACAGGCTCCTGACAAAGAAAAAGTGAAAGCAGCATGTGCTCTCAGTTTTGTTTGTCTCCCCTTCCTCTATAGGTTGTACAGCAGCCTCCAAATCAACACCTTAAATTAGGCATTTTCACAGAATGCCAGCAACTTACTAACATAAACACTTAGTGTTTAACATCCCAACAACGATGGCTGGACAGCAGCTGAAAAGATGGCTAAAAAGGAGACAGTATGACAACTGCAGAACATAAGTGGTGCAGAAATCACTGCCTTTTAACCATAGGAAAGAGGTTAACAATTGTCAAGATTGTGGAAGTATCACTGCTGTGGTTTAACAGCCTCCCCCTGTTAAGCCTGGATGATGACGAAAGATACATTATAGATTATTAATATATTTAAAAAAAAAGTAGCACACAGGTATTGAAAATTTGAAGGAGTCACTGATGGAAATAGTAAATTGATTTACCTGACCCTTATTGTTTTTTTATGTCCTATCACACAGCTGAGCAGTGGGACACAAAGCCATCTTACCTGGTTTGCTCTATGAAGGTGCATTACCACTGCAGACCATTCTGAAGCCCACGTCTGAACTGTCCTAATTGCCTGTCATTACTGCACTTTGCTTCAGAGAGATCTCAAAGCCCTCAACCTGGATTCCTTTCAGATACCAACCAGAAACGTATTTCTGGAGTGTATTTAACATGCTCCAACTCCTAACTGCCCTTAAGCCCACAGATCCAACTAGAGCTTACACAAAGAAACATGCCCAGAAGCAAATGTAGGCTAGAGATTCGGTCGACCACCTGTTTAGTAGTCCAAATCCAATCCTGTTGTGGCATTCACTTCACGTTAACCCAGAAAAAGCCTTATAATGGCACACCTAGTTATTAAAACACTCTGTTTGAAGCACCATTACCACGTTTTCTCAGGTAAAATGTATTAGCAACATGGAATGCTTTAAGGCCTATTATAGTTCCAAGACTATTACGGAAACTGTAATGCCTGCAAATATGGAAGCTGAATGTTGTTTAGGTATAAAACAGATGATGATGTTTGGGAAGTACAAATACAGTACTGCTAGACACTGCTTCTTCACCTAGTCTGGCCTTAACACACATCTTCCTTTTTACTCTCATCGATTACTCTGCCAGTGGAGTGCAGAACCCAGGTTAAAGGTCTTGGTATAGCCACCCGAAACAGCATGCCTCTCTTCATTTTGCATCTGCTTTCCATGATACTGATGCCAGGAACTTGTTAATATGAACAAGACAGGCCACCAAAAGACTTTTATGAAGCTATTACTAATGCTCTTGAGCAGCATTCTTTTCAAACAACGTATGAACAATCCTAGATTTTTTTTTTAAACACTACCAAACCACAGAGTGGCAAAACCAGGAGACCTCCTGACTTTGAAGTGCATTAATAGTAACCATCGTACCAGCTGCCAAAAACTAGTTTTATGATACTACATACACCAAAAATGCTCCAAAACAATGTTTAAATGAAAGACTATAAATAAACAATTCCTAAGAGGACATAATGCCTAGTCAAGAAAATAAAAGGAAGTTACACATTTCTTGCATCCCTTTTATTGTTATAAAGTACAAAAGTTCAATATGAATCTTTCATGATCCATCGTGTCAATTCTTGCTGACTTAAGAAGGAAATCATTATTTTTAATGGTGAATTGAAAAAAAGCTAGTGTTTGGTTTTGTTTTGTTTTTGTTTTTTTTTTTTAAAAAAAACCACAAAACTTCAAACAAACAAATCTTTAGTCACTAACACAAAATATGCTCTAATTGTTTATTGCATCTGAATTTTCAGGAGCTACCATCTAAACACACTATTAAGCTTAAAAAGGCAGCAAAACGGGAATGAAACAGCATATCAGGAAAGATGTTTTTCAATGCTGGAAGAACTACAAAAAAGTTCTATGTTTAGCTCAAACAATGATCAGCTGCCTTCACTCCTAGGTCCACCATCCTCACATAAAAATCATGACACATACAAACATCACAGACCTAGAGGGATGCAATCGTACACCATGCAACTTCTCCTCACCCTACCAACACTGAGCTAAGTCCCAAAGTCAACAGCCATGAATTTTATTTGATACACTAGCAAATGTCAAGTCACTGGCCTGAAGCTTTCTGGTATCATCAGCACGCTTCAGTACCACATCTCACTGGTGTTTCCAACCACACACAGAGATTATTTTCTAAGCATTTAAGCTTTTCAGTTGTCACTTTCCCCATTTGGGTTATTTTTACTTATGTTAATTAGGCTGAGTTTGCTTTTTATATTTTCTGCTAACATTTTCTGCTCTCCTGTATAATTTCTCCAGTGTTTTTGTGTGTGCAGTATCTCACGTTTAATACCCTGCTGTATTTCATTAAAATGCTGTTTACTTCTCTTTTAGATAACTGTTAAAGTTGTTTAACATGGATCCTTGCAAGGTGTTACTGACCAGAGAGACAACTGAAGAAACAAAACCTTTCTCCCATTCTTTTTTTTTTTTTTTTAAATCCAATCTTTTTCTTTCTTTTTTTTTTTTTTTCCACATGCACCTAACCATCAGTTCAGCTTCACAAACAAGCTGGACACGCACAAAGCTCCTTATCTCCAGTGGCATTAAGGATTTAATCCATTTATATTACTATTACTGCCCCACAACCACCTCTGTGAATCCAAGCGGCTACGTTAGACCAATGCTAACTACTTTCCACTTAAAATTACTTCTATGAAAATTTACAGGAGCAATGTTAATGTTGTGACAAAAGCATCACCGTCAAAAAAGACATTTTCTTAAAGTCACCTTTAAAAGCAGAGAGGTCATATTTCTCTGTTAGGACTCAGAAAGTCTAAAATCAAGTAAAGGGAGTAGTCATTTGCTGGTCCTGCCCATCCAGCATGGATATGGACAGCCAGAGGTCGAATCTAGCTCATGTTTCTTTCAGCTTCACTATGGACTCACCAACAGAAACTGCTGATACAGAGGCCACCTTCCTTTACAAAATGAAAATCTACCCCAGAGGGCATAAAAAACCCTCTCTGCTAAGTGTTTCTGGATTTTATGCTCATCAAAATAGACTTAGAAGTCCAAGAAACAGGGCCCTGAATTGCAATTCAAACCCACATGATTTGCTATCCCTCACCCCTCCACCAGCTGAGGACAGAATACCCAATTAAAGACTGGAAAAGAAGGCAGCATGGGAGGTGGTGAGAGGGGGAAAAAAATCACTACATGTGAAAAACTCAGCCTTCTCAACTGGAAGCCGCATCTATCTGTGGCTGAAATTTGAAAGTAAGATTATAATATTCCCTTAGGAGAAATAAATAATATATTTTTCTTTTTAAACGTACACAGTGTTTTCATATTTAGAAGCATGTAATATAAACTCCTGCGCATCAAATTTGAGACAAGAAGTTCAAAGTTAGCGTTCCAAGATGGACAAGGATGCTCAACAGGGGAGCTTGTATCATTTTACTCCAAAACATCAAGACATCTGCAATTCCCAAAGCACAGAGAGTCAGGTATTAAAGCCTAATTACTGATTTCGATGAGTACATGGTCTCATACTCTAGACTGGAGAACACAGCAGCAGGAGGAAAGGAAACAGTACTGTGGTCCACGAAATAAAGCTGAGAAAGAACACCTGTTTTTGTACCTTTGGCATTAACCCATGTAATACAACATGTAAATGAACTGAGCTTGGAAGCCAAGCTGCTAGAGAGCTTTCAGTTCCCACCTCAACCTTCCCAGCCTTCCCCACTTTAAGATTTTTTATCTATACATCCAGACAGAAATCATTCTACCTTTGAATATTTGTGAAGTGGTTGCTGCTGGGAAGTTTTCTTTTTCAAGGTAATTTTTTTTTTTTCTGATGGACAATTCACACATTCTGCATTCCTCTCCCTTTCCCTCAGAAGGGAATTCAGGCAACTTTCAAGCTGCACTTTCAGAGATTTAACAGATTCTGTTAATCCTGGAATGATAATCTTTGTATTTAAAACATACAAGATAAACAACCTGAGTGAGAAGCAAATCTGAATATGTTTTAAGAGCTTCTCTCTGCTGTGCAGCACTTCTCTGGCAGACCTCTACAACCGC